AGGACCCAAGGATCCTAAGTAAAGCACCTGCAGCCAGGACGCCCCCAGGGGAGGGAAGGAGCATTCTCAGGATCCTAAGTGTTTGCTGATGATGCTCCAGTGAACACAGCGCAGCCTGTCTCCAATGCTCCAGGTCCCCCTACACCGGTCTGTAGCACTTCCACACACCCAAGGCAGGTTCAGTGGAAGGACAGGCCCAGGTCCCATCCTTCAACACCACCTCCTCCCGGCTGCAGTGAAGTCTGAGACTTCCTGCCTGGCTTTCATTCCCCACCCCCGGGACAAATGTAATCCATCCCCAACAATGAGGCACACCCAGGGAACCAAGGTCCTCTGGACTAAAAGATTCATCAAAGACGCCGAGTGCTTCTGCCAAGTTTCAGAACAGGTCTCCCAGCAAGGCCCAGGCCCAACTGGCCCTGCTCCTAGTCTCATCTCCATCAGCAGCTTCGCAGCAGGAGGTGGGAATCTGAGCAAAGCACCAAGAGATGCCCTGTGCCCTCACGCTCATGGACAGGATGAGAACCTGAGTCACAGAAGATGGGGGCTGGGAAGGGCAGAAACCTGGTGAGGATCCCTGCTTTCCCAGCTGCTGGAGATGCGGCCTTGGGTGAGCTTCGATTTCTTTGCCTCACATGGGGAGTCTCCTTTCTTGTGGAACCTGGATTGAAAACCCAGCTCCAGGGGCTGGCACCCAGGCATGGTGAGTATGCCTCCACCTGCAGGGCCAACATCCCACAAGGGTGTCAGTTCATGTCCTGACTGCTCCACTTCTGATCCAGCTCCCAGCCTATGACCTGGGAAAGCAGTGCAAGATGGTTCAAGTCCTTGGGCCCAAGTCATCCATGCGAGAGGCCAGGGGAGCTCTTGGCTTCACATTGGCCCAGCTCCTCTGGCCATTGTGGCCATCCGGGGAGTGAGCCAGTGGATGGGAGATCCTTCTCTCTGTCTCTCGTTCTCTCTGTAAACTGCCTTTCCAGCAAAAATGAATAAGTAAAAATTTTTTTTAAAGAAATGAGCATTTGATAGACTAGAATGCATCAAAATTGAACTTTTTCTCTGCAAAGAACCCTGTTAAGAGGATGAAAAGGTAAGCCATAGACTAAAAGAAAAAGCTTGCAGGTCTACTACCTAGCAATGAACTTGTATTTAACTTACACACAGGACTTTTAAACCTCAGCAGCAAATAGACAAACACATGAACAGAAATTTCAATCAAAAAGAGAGGTAAATATTGGCTAGGAACATGAGAAGATGTTCAATACCATGAAACACTAGGAAAATGCAAAGCAAGGCCTTGATGTCACTACATTCATGTGAGGAGCGGAAAGAAAGCAGTGACATCACCAAGTGCTGACAAGGTTGCAGAGCGATGGCATGATTCACATCTTGCTGGAGCAAATGCAGAATTATCACCACCCTCAAAAACGGCTTCTTAAACAGCCTCAAGGCGCAACAAACGACCCTCTAACCCAAAGAAACACACTGTATGTTCATGTCCTCAATCACAGAATATCTGTAACGGGCCAAGTTGAAACAGCCTCGCTGTCCTCCAGCAAGTGAGGCTTTCAATAAATTCTGCACATCCACACCATGGCATGCTGCTTAGTCATCAAAAGGAGCTGATGACTAACAAATACAATGACTTGGATGGATCTCCGGGCGTGAAGCTGAAGGAAAAGGGCCAGTCGCAAAAGGGAATCCATTGCAGGATTCCATTCACATAATATTCTCTAAGTGACGAAGTTGCAGAGTTGGAGTACAGACTAATAATGGGCTACCACGGGAGAAATAGTTGTAGTGACGGATGCTCTTGTCTTGAAGTTGCGGGGGGGGGTTGGTTATACAACTCCCCCCGTGATCAGACCGCTCAGAGTGACAGCCTCAAAGATGAAAGCTGGAGGAACCTCAGCCGGGCACACAGCACCCCAAAGCTGGGAAGAATTCTTCCTCCTAAGAGAGTATCTGGAGGAAATAAAGTTACATCCAGAGATCAAAAAAATACATAAATAGAAAAGTTTTAAAAAAATAAAAATAAAAAACACAAAAGCCACTTTCCCCCTTTCCACCTGAGGCTGCTGGCTGCGTGCAGTTTCCTTGTCTGGTCCCACCCAGGGCGTTCAGCCTCCAGACCCGCGAGCTCCACAAACCTCCTTTCTCCGGGCATTTTGTGATAGAGACACGTGGAGATAGTCATCCCTACCCGGAGGCGGAAGTCGGACAGTCCTGAGGATCAGGCAGAGGGAGCAGGAGGAGGCCAGCGTGGGATCTACTGGTTGCCAGGGTTCTGCCCACCACACACACACACACGGCAAGGTGACTCCCAGGGACAGAGGGGGATGCCTCTGCTGAGGCCGCCAGCTCTGGCAGTCAGCTTGCCCAGGTCATTTCCCAGCCCCACCAGGCTGCCCCGCCAAGGACACAGAAGGATGGGCTGTGCACGCTTTTTGCTCGCCTGGGGCCCTGCGGGTGGAGTTTCCTGACATTCGGGCAGCAGTGACTGAGCAACCACTCCTTCCAGAAGATAACCTTCATCTGGCCCTGAACGCAGGTTGCATTTTAAAGGAAAAAAAAAGAGAGAGAGAGGGAGAGAGAGAGAGAGAGAGAGAGAGAGAGAGAGAGATCTCCCTGTGGCTGCCAGAATTAGTTAGGCGTGAGGGCTCTCCAGTCAACACCCTCGGCTCCCATAACTGCAACATGGACCTGGTTTTAAAGGACGAGCTGGTGCAGGGCGATGCCCTTGTTCCCTCTCATGGGGACTGCCCAGCAGGTCCCCCGCCTCTGCAGGACCCAGGACGCCACACACCAGAGGCTGCCTGCAGACGAAGTATGGCTGTGTCTATACCTGCCAGAGGAGCCACACAGGATTCACCTGAGGCTTGCAGGGCTTACTACGTGAACTTTAAACAGAATGCAAGGACAGGATTCTTGGCAATTGGAGCCATCTACCCCACCGCTGCCACTGCTACCCCTGGCCACAGTGTGTGTGTTGTCGAGCAGCTCCGTGTTGATAGTGAGGGCCGGTGGCACTGTGGAGAAGGCGTCTGACTCTGGTGCCTCCTCTCCCTGCCCCTACCTCTCTTTATGTGTCCACAGACAACAGACCAGCCTCCTGAAGTCTTTTTCCGCCTCACCATTAATGGAGACAATTATGGTATCCACTTGGTGGAATTGCAAGAAAGGATTACAAGTAGGTAAAAGATCTGCATAATTCCTGATACAGCCACAGGCCTCCATTCCTATCAGCTACTTGGGCTATTGTTTAGGACATTGCTGTTAGTATTAATTGTTTTTCCTTAACCGGCAACCCTGGTTCATAGAACTGACGGAACCCCGGTTGGTATGTCCAGTTTCTTGTAGGCAAGCCAGAATGGATCCAACTTGGACCACAACCCCAGACAGCCCTGTTCGGGGTGCAAAGCCTTCTTCCTGGGCTCAATCCCATGTCATCCGACTGAGAACCAGCAGCTGGAATCATTCTCATGACCCACTTTTCCAGGTAAAGGAGGGAAATAGTGGCAGACCTCTGTTCATGGCTGTTGCACTGAAACATGGATCTGGGTGCTCCAGCTTTACCCGCTGCCCCCTACAGGGATGTCCAGAAAATGCACTGGTTCATCTGTGCCAGGATCCTCAGGCTGAACGCGTTACACTCTCACCCAGGTCATACTCGCCACAAGCCAGTGCACTGCTGGGTCTGGCTGGAAGTTCCTGGGAAGAAACAATCACCCTTCCAGGAGCAGTGCCTCCAGGCCGTGATGGCCTCTGGAGGAAAGGGGGAAGTGACTTGAGCCCTGCCGATTCCAGACTGGAGCCAGACACGCTTGCACCGGACGGCCAGCTGGCCAACGGCCCAGACCACAGGTACATGGGTTCAATCACTGGCAGAGACAATTTCTCCAGAGCTCTAAAGAGATGTTCCTTTAGGGCCCTGAGGTGAGCCAAAAGGGGGACAACTTCCTTCAGCATCCCCTCACTCTCAGATTCTGGGCCCAGACACCCTTCTCAGAGAAAATGTGGAAGCCCTAGTCGTTCAGACACCCAGCCCTCACCTCCACCCTCGCGCTCCAATTCTTGATTTAAAAATACCCAGATTTTCCACAACTGTCTACTGCACCATCCTAAACCGTGCAAGAGCTTGAAGACTGTGTCAGCTTTTATGCATCGTGGTGGTATGGGGAGCCCGGCAGCAGAAGCAACAGTCTGAGGAAGTATGTGGGTGGGGGCACCCCTGTGGACACAGAGCCAGCCCACACAGCCCTCTCTCCCAGCTCCACAGCCCCCGGGGCGTCAGGAGGGCCAGCTCTATCCCTCCGCAGCACGGTGGGGAATCACTGTGTCTCACACTCCAGCCGGCCTCACTGCGGGTCCTGCAGCCGCTCACTTGCTCCCAAAGCAACTCTAGTGTCCACAGAGGAACTCGCATGTGGAACTCAACAATTCGGGATCTTTTGGGATTTGTGCCATGATCATGCATCTTCCCACCACATCCTCACAGCAACCAGCTCCCCAAAACTGACCTGCGGACAGGCACCTGCTTAGATCCTTCCTGAACAAACGCCAGTGCAGGACCAGCTGCAGACCTGAGGGGGTTGGTCCAAGCTCCAACACTTGTTGCTAAACTCCAATCACTCAGCGTGGGGGTAGCCAGCTCAGGTGCCAAAGTCTGGGGAGGAAAACTACCCCAGGAGGAGATGGCCCTGATCCGTGCCATCTCAGAGGGACCACCGCAATGCGTCCCCGTTCAGGCCGCCAACCCGGGGCACCTCCAAGCCCCTGCGGTTAACAAGTCACTGCCCAGGGCTGAACCCTGCACCGTGCCTGGAGATGCATGCAAGCTTCCTCCGCCGAGCGCCGGCCCCAGTAAGCAGCGACCATCACCGTACCGCTCCCGACCGCGGTCCCGTTCACCCTAGCAGACACGCGCCCCCACCCTGGGGCGGCGACCCTGGGACCCTGGGACTCCTTCAGCGCGCCTCCGGGTCTCCGGCTCCACTCACCTTAATGTTGCGGAAGATGGAACGGGGACAGCGGCCGGCTCGGCCCGAAGGGGCGTCGCTGCCCTGGGGCGAGCCGGGCTCGGGCAGCAGCCCCATGGTCGTGGCGGGCGGCGTCCCTTCTGTCCTGGCCGCAGCGGTGGTAGCAGGGCCTCGGGGTGCCGAGGCTGGCGCGAGCGGGCCGGCGGGTGGCGAGCACGGCGCGCGGCGAGGAGACAGAGCGGGGGAAATGTTCGTCCAAAAGTTTTTATAAGTGGCCGCAGCCGGCGCGGCCGATGATGAAACGCGCGCTCCCTCCTCCCTCCTCGCCGCCGCGGTCCCAGGCCCCGGGCCCGCCCCTCGCCGCGACCGCCCCTCGGACAGGTGTGGCGCGGCGGCCCCAGCGCGCCAGCTCTGCCTCGGCCCGCGGGCTGAGCGCTCCGGGAAGGGCCCGCCTGCCGGGAGGGGAGGAGGAAGAGTGGACGAGGAGCAGGAGGAGGAGCGGGGAGGACGGCAGGGGCCGGCTAGGGGAGCCGGACGCCGGCTGCAAGGGGCCCCGTCCCCTCCCCACCCAGGCTGGCTGCAGGGGGCGGGAGCCACCGGAGCCTGGAGGGGCCGGCCGGGGGACAACGAGGGCCGGGAGTAGGAAGGAGCCGGAGGGAGTGCGGGATAGTAGGGGAGCGGGGAGCACGCTGCGAGAAGGGAGACGGTCACCCAAGGGGCCGCCGGGCTGGGGGTGGAGGGATGGCACAGGCGGGGAGCCACCGCGTCGCGACGCCCGGGGAGATTTAAGGAGCTGGCCTCGGCTTGTTCGCACTCGCCTTGTAGAACTGAACCCTCCCTCCGTTCCAGCGGTGGCTCCGAGGCTCTGAGTTGAAGCCTGTTTATATGTGTACTTCTCAATACACGGAGAGGGTGCGGGGGGCCAAGGTGGAGAGGTGGGGGCCACCCCGGGGCTGGGCCCAAACTCCCTGGCCCAAAGCCAAGGTAAACCGAAGGCTGGTGTGTGCTGCTGGGGAGGGGAGCCCCTTGAACCAACCGGAGGCACCCCACTGACCTCCATCCCGGAGCTGGCCCCAAGAACCAGTTAATCAGTATTCCCCCCCCCCCCCCCATGGCTTTCTACCACCCAGATTCTGATGGCAGAGATGGGAAAGAAGGTGAGACTTTTCCAGAACATTCTGCCAAAGGCCATTGCCGTAACAAATGCAGTTCTCAAAGTGCTTGTCCAGCTGTCCCATCCCCGGATCCCAGGCCGTCAGCCTCTCCAAGTCCACCCCCCCCCCGCCCGGAAAAGGTGCTCTAGCATTCCAGGAAGCGCCCCTTCCATCTCCCCAGGGCGCCATGCCCTCCTGGGCCCATGCCCACCTGCAGGCACAGGACCTGGCCGTGCTGTGCCCAGATGTGTCTTTTCCAGTCACCAGTCTGTTCTCTCGAAGACCATGGGGTGCCAGGACAGCTGCCATCCCAGGGCCCCGTGTGCTCAGGGAGCAGACACACCAGCCCTCTGCCCGGGTCTCGGCAGCCCTGCGGTGGGAGGTCCCACCATGTATGAGCTGGCACAGAGGTCAAGGTTGGGAGCCACATATCTGTAAAATCTGTCTTGCAAATAATTAAATGTTTTTAAAGAAAAAAAAATCACAGCCAATGTCTTCCTCCCAGACTGTTCATCCCTAAATTTCAGCAAATTTTTCCTCACACTGACCACACACGCACACACACAGAGTCGCTGAGCTGGCCTCAAGTGCTCGCAGCTCTCAGTTGAGGAACAGTGAGAAGAAAATGCATCCGTATGATACGGGAGCTGAGAGGGACCCCCGACTCACCCCAAGCACAGGAAGGCTTTTGGCGGCACCATCTATCAAGCTGGCCCTCTAGACTAGCAAGAACAAAATTCAGCCTCCTTCACTCTGAAGGGCCCAGGCCCAGGCGAGTGCAGCTGCCATCGGGAGACCAGGGCGGGGTGCACAGACTTATCCCCAGCATAATAAGGTGTCAAGGATACTCAAGTCAGCTATTTCTTTTTCTTTGTTCTTTGAGATTTGTTTAGTGTTATTTATAAAATGCAGGTTGACAAAGAGAAACAGAGAAAAACAGATCTTTCATCCACTGGTTCATTCCTCAGATAGGCACAGTAACTGGAGCTGAGCTGGCCCGAAGCCAGGAGCCAGGAACGTCTTCCGGGTTTCCCATGTGGATACAGGGCCCCCCCCCGGCACCAGGTGATAGGGCCCTGGTAGTCTCAAGCAGGAATCCAGGGCGTTAGTGTGCAGGTGACTTCCACAGTGGTGGTGCCTGCCAGGGCAGAGAAGGGCTCAGCCAGTGCTGAAGGGAGTGGTGCCCCCTCATGGCGTGGAGAGAGACTGAGCAGTGACTCCCAGGTCTGGTTCCGGCCATCCACATTACTGCTGTCCGCTCTACACAGAGGGGACACAGAAGGAGCAGCCGATCCTGTGGGTCCTGCAGGGCTCCTTCTGGGTTCACACTGCCTAGACCCCTGGGTATGTGATTGCCGTGCTTGGGATGCGTGCTGGGCTAGGCACAGAGGTCTGGGGGTCCCCCATGCAGGTGGTAGTTAAGCCCGGGGAAGGGAGGACGCTTGCAGTGAGAATATGTGGGTGAGCTGAGGCAGAAGGGGAGGAAAGCAGAAGCAGCAGCAGCGTTGCCAAGAGAAAGGGGGGTCAAGCTCTTCTCCAGGGCACTGCGGGGTGGACCTTGGTCAGGTGGCCACCGAAGACCTTGGCAGGAGTATTTGCAGTGGGTGCTCTGGGCAAGGCCAGCCCTGTGTGCTGACGAAGAACTGGAATAAAGTACAAATACAGGCCATGAACAACATCCCCACGGCTGTGGGGGAAGGGCAGGGCCAAGGTGTGGGCCATGCTGAGAGCTCCAGGCTGGCGCCCCCATCCACACTCATCTCCGGCTTCGCCAAGTGTCCAGCTGGGCCAGCCCAGCCACAGGCTTACAGGCCAGGGCTCTTGTCCACACCAGCCTCTCCCCCTCTCCACCTACAGTGGCTGTCTTGTGATGCTCAGCTTCTCCTTGTCCACATTATTGCCTCTTCTGGGTCCCCACGACAGCAGCAAACACCTGTCTGACGGGGACGGCCCCATCACACACACCATTGTTTGTCACTCAGGAAACTAGAAGCTGTCTGCTCCATTTTACAGATGGATAAAATGAGGCTCAATACTCACAGTGTGCTCCCACTTTCGTCGTCACAGGGTCCTGCTGGGATGATATGTGTGATGGCCACGGACACAGCCCAGGTGGTCAAGGATGCTGACTGTCCCTGGAATCAGCTGTGCTATCTTAGATGGCCTGTAAACAAACATTTCTGATCCTCAGGCGTCCCTCTAGAAGGTGAAGGTAGGAAAGTGGACATGGCAGAGTTGTACAACAGCCCCTAAAAGTTGGGTCACCAAATGCCTGAGGCAGAGAGCTCTCAACATGAGTGGCTACCCTTGCTGTGATGGGTGGTGGCATTCATGTCTTTTCCTCCAGCTCAGATCTGCGCTTTAGGAGGACAAATATTCTCTTGCTGTCCCCATATTTACCCCACTGCAAGCAGAGGCTGGTGTCTTGGCGCAGTGGATTAGGCCACAGTTTGTCACGCCCATGTTGGAGCGCCAGTTTGAGTCCCAGCCGTTCCACTTCTGATCCAGCTCCCTGCTAATGCACCTGGGAGCAGCAGAAAATGACCCAAGTGTTTGCATCCATGCGGGAGATCCAGGTGGAGTTCTAGGTTTCCAGTTTCAGCTGGATCAACCCCATCAGCTGCAGCGGTTTGGGAGTGGATTGGTGCATGGAAGATCTCTTTCTCTGCCGCTCCCCCTTTCTTTAGAACTCTGCTTTTCAAATAAAACAAGCAAGTTAAAAAATATATCACTTAGATCCTTTCCACCTGAGCTACCGGCTGTGTGTCAGCCTCAGCCTGCCTGTTCTCACTGACATTTGGCCGTGGACTTGGTGGAGAGCAAGGTTTGACGAACAAGGCCCTGTCTGGGTTGCACCCTCCACTCCCGCAGCTGCTGATGGATGCCCCTTGTAGGTGGGGCACCCGGCTGTGATCCTGGGCTGGAACTGGCCACTTGGCTCCTTATGTGTCACCTACCCGCGGGTATGGGGGCTGGAGATCCCCCATGACTCCAGCAGCCGAATGTTCCGCCACTTTGTCACTGTCCGCAGTGAACTGCCCCAGCCACTTTCCCCCACTGTTTTCTTTCACACACACAGTGCTAGCAGTACTGGAATAGCATTCATTTCCTCCTCACCAGAAAACCAACAGGGAGGTTGTTTGCATGATCCCCTAGGGGAAGATTGAGCCTTGGGGCAATAAAACAATTGTGTTGGCCTCACAGCCAGCAAGGGGCAGCCCTGGTGTGGGAATCTAAGCTCCTGAGGGGCCTTTGCTCCAAGGGGCTGAGCCACACAGCCAGGGAGCAAGTCAAATACACTGCTTGCCACAGAATGGTCCCTTTGGGGGCCAGGAGCCCACCTCGGTGCTTCTCCCCACCCCTGCACCTTCCTCCTTCCAAACCCACAGCACTGCACCTGGCATGCCAACGGGAGCGGAGATCTACACGCAGCTGGGCACTCGCTGGCTGCAGCTCTTGCATCCACTCCTCCCACGGGATTTTGCTATAGCCCCTTGCACGCCTGCTCCACCCACCCCTCGTTCTTAGAACCCCAGGCTAACTTGGCCCTGGGCCCCCCAGTCCCGCGGGGCCCAGGGAGGACCACAGCAGCCAGGTGTCCTGCTTGTTGCGTCCCCACGGGGTTGTTGTCTGTGAATCACCTTTGTGAGATTGAGCTGTCTGCTTCCAGGTCCTGGTCTCACCCAGTGGAAATCACTCCCTGCTCTGCCAAAAAAAAAAAAAAAAAAAAGGAGAAAGCCCCACAGGCCATGTCCACTCCTCCAGCAGCCTCCTCCATGGGCGTGGGAGCCCCAGCTGCACCCCAGTGCCCAGGGTCAGTGGGCCGCCCCGGCTCAGGGCCATGCCGCCTCTGGGTCCTGCTGCTGTCTCTGTGTTCAGGAAGCCGCTGTGGCGTCCTCAGTCCAGGGCTGGACTTGGGACTCAGTGGGGCCTGGCCGGGCTTGCTAGGCAAACACAAAACTG